CCGGGCAGTGTAGCCAGAATGCCCACGCTAGCAACACGCAACCGTAGTGGAGGGGATACGCACACAAACGAAAACCGTGTACATGTAATGCGCAGAACGCTCTGCACATTGTGTCTTTTTTTCTCTCTCTCTCTCTCTCTTTCTCTCTCTCTCTCTGCGATGGAGAAGACGTGTCAAACATCGCTCTATAAAAGTGATAATTTTTAAGTAGTTAAATAATGAGGGAGAGTGGTAAAAAGCTGTTGAAGTAATAGTTACATAGACCGGGAATAGCCATGAGTGTTATCTAGCTGCAGTATGCTCATTTGTGAACGTAAGAACTACATTTCTTGTATGGGACGCCCAAGTCTCGTACGACAGGTGGACATTGAAGGTGGACAAAGTGCTGACGTGTGAAAGTGGACGCAAAGGTGACTGATCGCCTATGCTGATATTAGCAGTTTCGACCGGTAATTATCGATATGGAAGAATACGACGAATATCGATGCTCGGCATGTAAGAAGGCAATAAAGAACCAAGCTGTAACATGCAAGTCTTGCGATAAACTTTTTTACCATCCAGGATGTGTAATTAAGCATAAAATATATAATAGAAACCACGAATTGGTGGCGTGTCGTGGACCATTTGACAAATTTATTATCGATAGCGATAAAGAAGCAGCTATGACATCGACAGGAAGATCAACGGGGAGTACGGCATCAAGCAGTGGAAACAGAGTAGCAGGCGCGAGTGGATCAGCGGAAATTGAGGTAAAAATAGATTGGCTTATAAAAATAGTGAAGGAAATAAAAGATGAAACAGCGTGTAAAAAGGAAGTCAAGATGATGATTAAGGAAATAGTTCGTCAAGAATTGGAAAATTTTAAACAAGAAGTGAGAGAATTGAGAAGAATGATACAGGAAGGAACTTCAGGACCGTCAGAAGGAGCACAAAGAAATTATAGTGATGCAGTTAAAGAGAATAAAAAAGAAAATATTATAATTGTCAAACCTAAGATGCAACAGGAGAGTGAAGTTACTAAAAAATTGATAAAAGAAAAGATAGACATCAAGAATATGCCTGTGGGAGTAACGAAGCTAAAAAAAGGAAGCAAGGGAACAGTGATTCTGGGTTGTGAGACTGGAGAAGAAATGGAAAAATTAAAGGCTACAGTACAAGCCAAGCTGGGCGAAAATTTCAAAGTAACTGAGTCACCGCGGATGAAACCTAAGATAAAAATTGTCAATATTGGCGAAGAAGAAATGAAGTTGAATGATGATAATTTAATAGTTACAATCAAAAAGCAGAACAAGATCGACGCGAAGAATGAAGAAATTCATATGCGAATAGTGAAGAAAATAGTTAAAAGTCAATCCGGAAGAAGAGGTAAAGAAGAAGGTTCTGTAATAATTGAAGCAGATGAAAAAACTCATGAAATAATGTTGAGCATGGGAAAACTGAATGTAGGATGGAGAAAGTGTCTGGTATTTAATCACATTAATATTAAAAGGTGTTTTAAATGCTGGGGTTATTATCATATTGCAAAGAATTGTACGCGAAATGAAACATGCCACAAATGTGCAAAAAATCATAGAGCGATTGAATGCACGGCGACAAACAAAAGATGTATAAATTGTATGTTTAAGATTCAAACATACAACTTGAGAATAAGTGATGAGCATGACGCCCTTGATCCGGAATGTCCGACATTTAAAAGGGTGATACAGGAGGAGAAGAGGAGAGCCGGCTGGGAGGACACTAAGTAACAACTACAGAAGGAAGAAGATACAGCATCAGATATGAAGATAATGAATCATGCATAGCACTGTCGGAGTCTGGATTGAATGCTGGGTTGAGGATTTGTAATGCAAATAGCTGAGAAAGCTAGTAAAAATCGGACAAATCCGTCCCCCTCTTCCTATCTTTGATTGTGCAACGCTGTTAGTTGCGGACATTGCAATTTCGTAGAACTATGAACTATGAGTGCACAAAAAGAGTATATTGTACGAAGGGGTTAAAGTGTATAATGCCTTACCAGCTGAGATAAAACGATGTAAAAATTGAGCGGTTTAAGCAATTGTAAAAGGAGTATATTGTAGTTAATGTAAACCAGATCTGTATCACAAATAGCTGAGAAAGCTAATAAAGATCAATCAATCAAAAAAAATCTGTCTCTCTCTCTCTCTCCCTCTTTTGTAGAATACAAATTCGTCCACATCTAGCTGTCAAAAACTTATGTAATTATATATATTAATGTCTAATCAACGCTATTTAGAATTCTTTTAATATTCATATGTAAAATATAAATGTCATTCGCAATATAAATCTAAAAAATTTTTTTTACTTTGTATAAATCCTAACTTGCGTGCAACAGACTAACAATAAGACGAATATATTTATATTACATTTAATAAGTATAATTATGGTATATTTTATATTGGTATAATCGATTAATCGGTAATTAATTCTTCAGTACTATTTTATAAAAAAGCGGTATTTTTTAATTAAAAAAAAGACAAGTTTTAATAATTCATCAAATTCTTAATATTTTTTATTCAGTATCGTACACAAATCGTGTATCGTAAATACACAAAATATATATAATATATATATAAACACATATCGATTTCATA